GCAGAGTGAGATCATCTAAACAGAGAAGAGAACAAAATGTAGCCAAAATCCAAAGACGAGCTATTTATAGACATTACAAGGAAGCTTGTCTAACACAGAGACAAGCTAAGACATAGGTGTGTGTGTGAGAGTGTGTGTGTCTATATTACACACAAGGACAAAGCACCTTTAGTGTATTATCCTTTCTCCTCTTTCTTTTACTGGCCTTTCTTACTTTATCATTGAGGTCTACTTTATGAACCTTCAACCTGAGCGACAAATACAAATATGAAAGAGCGGCATGAAAAGCGTGTGATGTCCCAACTTGAACTGTAATGCCCTTCAAATAACCACTACAAGCGAGCTATCTGTGCCTTCATTTTCTTTTTCCAAAGTTTGACTGCAAAAAGGAAACATGGCTTCTGAAAAAGGAAAACAGAGAGTGTAACAGAGCAAGTTTTTGTAGAAGGCCTTCTTTGTAGCCCGTGCCTCCAAAAAGAGACCCCAGAGAAGTGTAAGTTAAAAGCTAAGCAAATGAAAAACAACATCAGAGACATGAAAATGGTAGAGTTGGCAGGTGCTCAGCTGCAGAGAGGATAGTGAGAACATTAGAACTTCATAGACATTTTTTGTTTTGTTCAAACTGGCACTCAATAAGACGGCTGTGTGAAGTTTAGAAATGTGTAGCTGTTGGCTACTACAAATGACAGAATCAGCAGCTTAAACAGACTGTAAACAGGTAAGTCCATGCACGCTTCTGTGACAGTTAAATCCCTCCTCACATTTTGCCCTCTTTTGAGTAGCATAGCAGTAATTAGTCGTCTAGTGTAAGAGGACAGTTATTAACTTGTGGTTCTGAAGAAGGTAGATGACAAATCACTGTAAAAAAAAAAAAAGAAAGAAAGAAGAAGAAGTCTCCATCAGTGGGAAAAGAGGCTTGAAGGCTGTTGGGCAGTCATCCAGCTCAGTGCAGGACTGGATGGCTCCAGCCTGCTTAATTAAAGGGAATTCTCCAAGGAATTTTTAGGCTGATGGCCCTGCAGCTTGGCCCAGCTCAGGCAAGCCGCAGAAAGCAAAGCACAGACCCGCTCATCCACACATGCGAACCCGAGGAGCCCTGAGGGCAGACAAACAAATATAATTGAGACCTGAAACAACCACTCAGTCTCTATCTGTATTCTGGAGTCACAGTTTGTCTCCTCCACAGTGCAGTGAGACGAACCCACATTTCTGATTATGCCCTCGACCAGGAGGTGAATACTAATGTGTGGATGCAACATGAGACTGCGTGCTGAGTTTATCTGTCTGTTTGCTATGATTCATTTGATTGTAATGCACCGGCGTGGGTTGGAAGATGATGCATTGTGTTTTATTTTTAACAACGCACTTTAAAAATCACTTCATATTTGCACTTAGAGATATCCTGCTGATATGCCAGCGTCTAACTTCTAAGATTGGACATCAGTTGTGGAATGAGAGCTCAACTTATAGAAGAGCCTTACAAAATTGATGCCAGTTAACTAGTAGTTCAATATAATTCTGTCTTCCGCGTGTCTGATAGATCTGAATCTACCGTCAGCAGCCAGTAGTGCTGTGCAATACTGCAAATTTTGACAATACGTTACTAAGTAAAAACGAGGGCAGTGCTGCAGATACCAAAAACGATGCTGATGCTTTTAACCTACGAAGGCAGCTTATATAGCAGAGAGAAGTGTGCCATGACTTATGAGATGAATCATCATCAGCTGGGTTTTTAGAGAGCTGGAGTGTAAATGTACCTGTGTAACAATACCAATACCAGTGCTAGTATAAAAACCAGAATTAAGTTTATTTTATGTAATACATATTGTATTTATTACATGTATTTATTAAGATCTGAAGTAGTGATCGAGTCCATAAACTTTCTAAGTAAGTGTTTACTGAGGTCATGGATTAAGGGTCCTGGAGGGCATTTTTTTTCCATTTGTGTACAACTGAACTTCTTTGTAACTGCAAAAGTAAAAAAAAATGCAGGTTTGAAGCTGAACAAGCTTCAAACGCCTTTAAGCGCCTTGAGGCGACATTTGTTGTGATTTGGCGCTATATAAATAAAATTGAATTGAATTGAATTGAAGCTCTGTAGCATTCGCTTCACTTTTCAGACCCTCTGTATCGTCTTATTTTGCTCACTTGTCCAAGTAAATGGGGACCCACTCTTAAAAACATTTCCTCGTAGTTAAAGCTTCCCACCAGCGCCTTTATGTTAACAAAATATAAATGGCAGTTTTTGTTTCCACAGTCAGAACATGACATATTTTGTGCGCAAAGGTTTCCCATTTGCAAAGTTAATTTGATATATTATGAATCAGCTTTCATGGATAGCATCGTGGCAGATGCACGAGGCTGTTCTCTCCCAGACAGGAACATTTACTGTAGAAAACAGTTGGGAGGGCATGACACGTAGACTGTCCTTCCCATTCAAAGAGCATTAAAAATTCACAAGACAGTCAGAACAATCAGTGCTGCAGGTTTTCTTCTTGCTTTTAGGCTTCGGGTCTTGTTTTCCTTTTGCTGTTTGAGGAGGCTGTTGTGTAAGAAATGAATTGTGACACAGAGGAAAGTATAAGTCCTACGACACTAAAAGTGTTGCTGTTCTCAGCGATGGTAGTGCCTGACCTCATCCAGGCTCCCGGTGGTTTCACATATACACAAAAAGCGATTATCCCAGGGGATCGTGAAACTGGAGCATCGTGATCCTAAAATTATTTGTTATGCCCAGCTGCTTTTTTCCCCTTTCTTTCTTTCCTTTTCTTTTCCAGAACATCTCTGCCGACAGAGGGGGGAGCAGATCCCGTGGCAAATCGAATCAAATTACAAGAATGTCTGTAGTGCGCATGATACATGAAAATGAAAATAGACAGTAATGAAAATGTCCTTGTAAACTATATTGGAGGGCTTGACAGCACATGTAAAAACCTGCAGAGAATTGTTATGTTTGTCTTCATTATCATTTCTATAATGAATATTAATGCAACTACATCAAAGAGTAATAATAGTAATAGAGAATAATAGTAAAGGGCATAATCACTCTGATCATGAACATTAATATTTGAGTTATCTTCTAGAGTCACTCTGTTTTCAGAAACTGTTCAGTCAGAACTTTAGTATAGCTGTCCTTCCCTTGGTTCGCTGCCATCCTACAGTAATGACTGCTGAGGCAGGTGGTAAACACATTTTCTTTTTCTCCTCTCGCAAATCAAAACTTCATCAGGTATGAAAGCTAGGTGATGAATCTATAAACCAAATGTGCATGAAAGTATATCAAAAAAGGTTTTATTAACTACGATGCAACATATAAAAAAAGCATTTGCTTTCCAACACAGCCTTAATATTTGAATCATGGCTGTAAAAGACTGTAGCAGTCAGCAGTGAAGGTGCTACTTAGTACAGTATGAAGCATGCACTATGAACCGACTTCAGAGTGCTTTGAATTCAGTATATCGTTCACACCTCCAGTTATTGCCTACACGCCGCGCTGCAGTAAGCAGTGAACGTTTACACCTGATTCTGTTCTAGCAGCTAAGCAGTGCTTCGGGCACAGCCATGTTCACACTAAGCCAGGTACATTTCTAAACGCATCTGTTTCTCGTCGTTTTGGCCCGCTGTCCAGACTAAAAGCTTGCACAGACGTGTGAGGTCCTGCGCCGCCTGCCTTGTGTGTGACAAACGAGAGTCGTAGCCAGTCACTCCAGGCGCTGCAGCTTCATTAAGTGCTCGCCACACTCGGGTCACTCTGGCTCTCTCTCACGTGCGGGAAAATGAAAAGCTATTTGAGACCATTTGGAAGACAGCGAGCTGCAAAGCTTCAAGGAATGTTTTTCCTTTTGAGGGAATTGGATCAGGAGTTGAAATTGTTTTGCTTTTCTGGAAAACAAAATTTTGATATAATGTTGAAATGCCATAAGCTTGTTAGAGGGACAGTCTTGCAGCATCATGGGGAATATTATGAGACATTAGGCAGGAGTAAACAGGTTTTTATAGTACACGGGTGTTGATGAAAACACAGCTATGTGGTCCATACTTGTGCTGCTTCTCTCTGGGAGTTTTGGTGTTCCCTGCCATAAAATAAAAGCATGCTTGGTAATGCTATCTAGTCCTAGTCCTGTTGCTTTCAAAAGAATCTCACTTTTGGTTAAATAAAGATAAAACAAATACCCCCCAAAATAGGAGCCTCTGAGTAAAATGCTACATAATTTGTCTATGAGTAGTACTATGAGTAGAAATCCACCAATGAGATGCTCTCCTTGTTTCGGTGAAGTTGTTATATTCCTCATCTTTATCCGAGTCCTTTGTGAAATCTCTTCAGTGTGATATCACTATCACTCTGGACATTTAACATTTAGATGATTTCAGTGGCTGAGTATACTTATCGAAACTGTGGAGGAGTGTAGAAAGTGAAAAGACAGGGAAAAAAAGCAACTCTCCACCCCCGCAGTATCTTTTTGAAGCCTCGCACTCGATGGCGAATCAGAATATATGGAGGGAGCGAGCGCCTGCAAGAGGGAGCGAGATTGAGCCGGCGAAGAAGTTTAAAGAGATCGGCGGATGCAGCTCTCTCTGTGTCGGCTGGCTCCGACAGGTGCTGTACAACATTTTGGGTTTAATTAAGTCTAGTGCGCAACTGAGACAGGCGGAGCAGGAAGCGGCAGACTGCAGAGCAGAGGCAGCTGCAAGAAAAGAGAGACGGAGGTTTGCCGAAGCCTTGACCTTATTTTACATGTTGAAGTTAATGGAAAGGAACAAGTGCTGTCATCACAGTTTCTCCCCACTATGTGTGCGTTTCATGCAAACGCGCACAAATGTACCCGCTCGCACGCTCCCTCTTGCACTCCCGAATGTCACTTTCTTCTCTCTTTCTCTTTCTGTCAGCTCTTCTGCAATTGGAGGTCTTTGTCATATCTGAGTCTTCGTGTTTCTTAATGTTCTCAGTGTTGTTGGAAGGGAATCTGACTCACTCCGTGTCTTCTTCTGCAAATTTGTAGGTGGTGACCTCGGGAAAAAACAGCAGAGGATACCACTATATCCTCGCCAACCTGGTGAGAGCTCGCAACTCGAAACAGCACAACACAACTCAGTGGAAAACTCGTAGCAGCAGTGCTTGTGTGTGATGCAACGTTGTGCAAAGAAGTGCAATGTTCTCAGTGAATACATCTCAGGAGCACAGTCAAACTTGGTTCTCTCAATATATAGTTGTGTTAGACTTAAAACTGAATGGTGCAATTAAATCGATGAAGTTACTCAGCGCGGACAAGCTAAAGCAGATTTAAATCTCTCATCTTTTTTTTCCCTGTTCTCCTAATGATCCTTTTCTCCACTACCACCAAGTTGTGCTCTTTGCTCTCAGGGTTTTTCCAACATGAGTCTGGACAGGGTCTTTTCTGGTGGAGCCAACATCACAGGCTTCCAGATCATCAGCCCAGACAGCCCCATCGTCCAGCAGTTCCTCCAGCGCTGGGAGCGCCTGGATGAAAGAGAATTCCCAGAAGCCAAAAACACTCCGCTGAAGGTCAGTGAGGCGAAGCTGCCGATGCCGCAGTTGCATTTTTATTTAACATCTTCAAAGGCTGCCGTCGCTATTCATCTTCTGAGTTCGAGGGTAGTAACTTGGCTTCAATCAGAGAAAATATGTCAGTGCGAATCATTTCAGGGATTCAGTTCAGTTCGTCTCGCTTGTTTTACACGAGCAGCGCTCTGTGGTAACCTTGCTCTGACGGCAGCTCAGTGTTGTGTTGGGTCTGTGTGATGTCATTGGTGCATCACTGGGATTTCTTCTGGCCTTTGACTCAGTACACATCGGCACTCACCCACGACGCCATCCTCGTGATCGCGGAGGCCTTCCGGTATCTTCGGCGGCAACGAGTGGACGTGTCACGTAGGGGGAGTGCAGGCGACTGCCTCGCCAATCCTGCAGTGCCCTGGAGCCAAGGCATCGACATAGAGAGAGCCCTCAAAATGGTAGGACTGAGAGCCTGCACTGTCTCACTGCTTATTTTATTTACTTTATAGTTATATGTTTGCTTATTCTCACTTTCTACTTGGTGATGTTTCCAAAGTTTTTATTCTTTAGGTTTTTTTTTTTCCTCCCGTGTTTTCTTTTTCTGTGAAAGATCCCTAAATGTTTTGCCTCTATAAACTACAGGCTACAAATATAGTTTTTTATGCCATTACTTGCTAGAAATACATCATGATTTTTTTCACAATTTAATAAACAAATGCTGCAGCACTTAGCCATTAAAATATTATAGAACTGTGAAAATGTATTGAGCCACCCCTCATTTATTTATATTTTGTATACGTTTATACAGTCCTAACAAGCTTTCTACTGAGGATTTTAGTGAACAGTAGATGAACACACAGGTCTTATGTTACATCTTTTTTGCTTATGTCTTAGAATATGATTTTTTAGATTTTGTTTATGAGCCATAGATGTGTGCCACTTGTTCTTTTGGCCTCCACTTTTCTCAAATTTGTTTAAGTACACACTGCATACCATGACAACTTATGTCAAGTTTCAGCTAAGAGGACTTTAAGAATCATTTTGTTGGTTTAAAAAAAGAAAAAATACCCAAGAAATGAGGGCTGGCTCAAGACTTTTGCCTTTTACACTATATTTAATTCCTTTAAGCGTACTAGAACCATGTTATTCTGCAAATACACCCATTCCTTACATACTGCAACGTGAGCAAACAATTATAAGAAACCTGCTTCTGGTGCTCCAAGTTAGTCTGACCTAATAGACTGGATCCTTATTTAAAGTGATTTAACTGATTGAAAATGAGACCAAAAGGTGAAGCAGAGCCTTATATCACAGCCGTATGACACACGTTACCATGTGGTTTATACATGCTGTATGTTAGGAACAGGTGGTATGATGCTTTTCTTGGTGCCTGGCAGGTCCAAGTACAAGGTATGACAGGAAACATCCAGTTTGACACATTTGGTCGACGATCTAATTACACAATCGACGTGTACGAGATGAAACCAGGCGGCCCCAGGAAGGTAAGTGGGCACTAAGGTTTGGATGTCATAATTTAAAATCTATAATTAAATACTTTTTGCAGGTTGAGTTTATGATACAGACCCATGCTATGTGCTTTGCATACAACTACACAAGCATAAGCAAATTTGAAGGATACCTTTTTTGAGGGATTTTCTTCTCTGGGCATATTGGCACTACATAAGTTAGGGTTGATACTGATTTGGACAGAAGCTGCCAGTAGCCCGGGCTTTCTGATCCAACTCAAATCATGTAAGCTCCCGCTCCCTCTGAGAGTTTGATCTGGAATATATCCACCAAGAAGCAGCCAAGCCATGCAGATGGAAGCTTGAAGTTTTGGAGAATGGATGAATAATTGTGATCACCTCACACTTACAGAGAATTTAATAATAATTGAGTATACTCACAAACAAACTGTTTAGACATATATTCATGGATATTTAAATGCAAGTTTTTAAACTAGTGTTCAGGTCATGTTATTTTAATTTAAGAAATTCTCTCAAATAATCATCTATCCATCGATTTACTTCTGGTTATCCAATTCAGGCTGGAGCCGGTCCCTGCTGTCCTAGGGTGAGAGACAAGCATTCATGCTCACATTCACACCTACAATTAATTTAGAGTCACCAATCAGCGCCACAGATGTCTTTGGACTGTGGGAGGGAGCCAGAGTACCTGGAGAGAACCAGTGCAGACACAGGGAAAACATGCAAACTCCACACAGATTGCTAACTGCTAAAACGCTAACCACCACACCACCCTTTCAAATAAGTCATATGGAGTGTTTTTACAGGAAACCCCTAACATGATGTTAGCTAAGCAGCAACATTTACTTGTATGTGATTAGAACTATGACAGTGAAGTACACATTAGTAGCATAACACCTACAGGCTCAGTGTAAAATGATTTGTACTTTGTACTGTTTTGAAACAAAAAATTGTGCATAAGGAAGAAGATCCAAAGTTTTTGACATGGACAGAAACAGCTAAGAGGTAAGAGCTGCAGCACACATTAGCATTTAGCTACAACGTGTCCATTTACCCTACAAGCATGGACACATGTCTTCTCTTGTGCCTTGGCTTTTGTCTTGCTAAAGGAACTGCTGTGAGGGAGTGCACTCACTTGGAAAAGCCAGTTAGCTAGTTAAGTTGTCAGCTGTAGCGCTTGTCAATGTTTGTTAGTTTAGATGCTAAAAGATTGGGACCTGTTCTTCTCTACCTCTGGCAGGACACTGTCTATGTCCCCATTAGTTTGTAAGGTACAGGCACTGGAGCAAATCACGCCCACACATCCACCCTGAGCCTGAAGGTGAAAAGATTGTGTTTTACACGTCTTTGTTTTTTTTTTTTTTTAAACTATAAATGCCAAGATTTTTTTGATTTCTGACTACCCTTCTGAATCGTAACAATTTCGTTACACTGTGATACAACTCCACATTAGTAAGTAATACACTACTGTATAATCGGGCAGGCCAAAGGCAAAAACAATAATGTCTGAACACACACACACACCCTTACACGTGAGACCCGTAAGAGCTGCGGTAGCTCTGTGACACTGAAAACCCCACAAAGCTGGCACCGAAAAGGAGTGGCCCCATAATGTCCACACAGCTCAGTTCGTAAGACAACATACATCACAGACCCCCCACCCCACCGCCCCTCATCCAATCACAGTGTGAGACAATCTACAGTGACAAGAGAGTGAGTACTGCGCATTATAGCTTCCAGAAATGGGAGAGTTCTTCTTGGCTGAATAAATCAGAGTCTAGCAGAAATAAACATAATACAGCTACTGGAATCATCTCAGGTTGAGCAGCAACAAGCCAGGCTTTGTTTGTGTTAGATCATAGTGTGTGTCTTTTATGTAGTATTAATAGAAAGAGAAAAAAAAATCGACTGCATTGGCTAGATAAGGCATTTTTAGATTATTAGGTTTTTCTTGCTGGTATTAATTTTATCAGTCCTCCAGTGCTCTATGGGTGCTGCTTTCTTGTTATATAAGAGAACATTTGCTGAGCCAGGAATAGATTACTCCTACTCTGCTGAAGTGTAGCCCAGGTGAAGTGAGGAGAACCACTATGAGCTTTTTATTAAATCATATATCAGGAGCAACCGACACCGTCTCCAGCTGTACAGATAGAGCCGACCAGCTCACGTGAACTCGGAGGGTCTACTGTGAAAATGTCTTTCTGCTTCTCGTAAATAACTGCGGACCTCTGTGTTGTTTTCAGATCGGCTACTGGAATGAGTACGAAAAATTTGTATATATAATGGATCAGCAGGTCACCAACGAGTCCTCTTCTGTGGAAAACCGAACAATTGTGGTCACTACTATTATGGTACACACTCAAGTGGTTTTAAATGTTTCACCTTAAGATTTCTGCCACTCAAGGTCAAGGTGTCCTTTGTTGCAATCTGTCCTGGGAGGGTAGAATTATTGTATTTTCAGTTGCTTTCCATCCACTCACTACATGTTGAAACAGTCGATTCACACAGAGTGTTTCAACTGTATCCGTGTGGGTGCCAAAGCATTTTGGTTTTTTTATATTACAGTGGGCTGTTGTAGTAGTGACATCACAATAACGGCTTTGGTAATGATAACTATACACATCGTGTTCTCATTCAGTGCATACGTACGTAAGTAAAAATGTTTCCCTCTCATTAAGTAAATCGTCAGTGATGCTGGACCAGAGACATGAAATGATCTGCATACAAGGAGGATGTAAACAGCCAATGGCTGCAACCTTTGGCTGTTTATCCCTTGTCTAAAATTTACTTAGTTAAAAAATTTGAGTGAGGATGAGAGCGCTCCAGGAGTAAGCAGCGGTGAGGTCAGTTAGATCAGTTGCAGGCAGTAGCTCCAGTTTAGTGATCATCAGCCATTTTTAAATGTAAGATAAGGTGCGCCTTATCTTACATTTAAAACCATGGCCTCTCTGTCTTTCTGACTTTGCCTATTATGGTTGCATCTTAGGCAAATTCAGAATGAAATAGTCACGCATTCCCATTTCAGTGTCTGGAAACTCATACTCATCTTACCTAGACTGGAAGTAAAGTGTTGTTTAGAGCGAGGGAAGAAATGAAGAAGCGTAGTGCCATTGCATTATTTTTTTCTCTCTGCCAGACATGATTTTGATTTGAACAGAAACCAATTATTGTTTTTAGAGGCATCGCAGTCATCTCATTAGCTTCATGTTTTTATTACTTCCCATGACATTAAAGAAAACGTTTAATGAAAGGACTACCTCGCTTTGTTGGGGTGCAGTTCTTTCATTTTTTGTCTCACCATAACACCGAAGACTGCGGAGCGAAAGGGATGTGGAAGTCTAAAGTTCAACAGGAGCCATGCTGTTGAATGCTCCAAAAACATCAGAAAAAGCCAACAGTCTCCCGTGAAGAAATTGCATTTATTCTGTTCTATTAAGCTGAATAACCTCTGAAAACATGTGTGTGCCAAACGACAAAGTAAGTACAGCTTTGCTTAATATCCCCCCGAAGGTGACACTGGTTCATCTTTAATGGCAAACATGTTTTGGATGTTACATGTTGGAGGAATGATACAACAATCAAGGCACACAGGCAAAGCATATTAGCATAATCGAGGCGATGAGCAGATTATTTTATTGTCGTAACGGAACAAATAAAAAAAGCAAATTGAACCAGCTTTAAACTACTTTTGTGGTGTGATTCAGACCTTTTTTTTTAAAAAAAGTTGTTCGATGAAATGAGGTAATCTCCATGTGTTTGATGTCTTTAATCTCTCTGCTGCCACTGACGTTTACTTTATGAACTGGAAAAGTGCTCCATTCAGCTCGTCCTGCCCCCTGTGCCTTCGCTGATGCAAAGCACATGCAACCCCCCGCCTATTGCCCATTTCTGCAGATTTAGATTTTTCTGGATCAGGTTAGCATGAGGGAGGCCCGACATCCTGCTTTGCACTTTGCACTCAGTTATAGATGCTTTGCTTCTCCCGTCGGTGCAGTCGGCCTAGTCCCCCCTGCCACCCACCCCACCCCTTCAGTCCTCCACTTACGTGCCCGTACATGTGTTTAACCTGTGTTTGTCTTTATTTATATGTTCCCCTCATCTGTTCGTGCCCTGCACGTGTGCATGCAGCAGTACCAATAAAGACCTCATGTGACCCATATGGTTTGGTCACTGTGGATGTGATCTTGCTTTACCATGAACTCAAAATTATGTCTAATTAACAGGAAGCTCCATATGTGATGTACAAGAAAAACTATATGCAGATGGAGGGGAATGACAGATATGAAGGCTACTGTGTCGATTTAGCTTCTGAAATTGCAAAACATGTGGGGATTAAGTATAAGCTGTCAGTAGTGCCCGACGGGAAGTATGGAGCCAGAGATCCAGAGACCAAGACGTGGAACGGGATGGTGGGTGAACTAGTCTATGGGGTAAGTGTCAGTCTGCCTGTGTTTCTGTAAACTGTCAGTCTTTTGTCATTGTTTGTGACTCAGCTCGTGACACAAAGCACATAGTAAAACATCCAGTTTTAACAGATTAAGTTTTTTCTTGACCAAAGTAAGTTTGTCTATAGCCAATTAATCCCTTAAAGCTTCAGTCATATGTCATAGAAAACAGTTTTACACTTCCGTATTTTTCGGATTATAAGGTGCACTGTCGATGAACATTTCTGTTTTCATACATAAGGCGCACCGGATTATAAGGCGCATTAACCGAAACAAAACAGTCAGATAAGTCAAACTTTAGTCAACTCATTCTTCTTGCTTCCTCCACTTCCGTACCATTGATTCATTATGTTTAATTCTCTCGCAGCTGCTCTATTCCCATGTTGTTGCAGTATATTAATGACTAACCTCGTATTGTGGATGGATTTTCTCAGTTGTTCTCCTGACTGAAGTTTGGTCCGTTTACAGCATCCTGCCATGTGATTGCATTTGTCCCTAACCATCGGGAACCCTCACGTGACTTTTATCAAGTGGAAAAAAGTTAGCGTTCATCCTCCAGCTTCACTGTGCTTATGCTATGCTAACATAGCTATATTGCTACCAATCACGTAGCACATCATTATATACCAGCTAGCCCAACTTCAGTAACCCTACAAAAGTCACTACTGTTTAGATTTCTGTCTTCATTTATGTTGGAAGTGAAAGCAGAGCTGTACATTTTAATTCTTTCAGAAATCTCTCAATCAGAACATGGTATATCATGTTTAGGTGAAAACTAGCGAGCTAACATCATGCTAACTTGTAATTCTGTTAAATTTAATGTTTTCATGGATGCCTGGATGTTAAACTTAATTGTTACACCTGGTAAAGCAGTAACACTGATCATTTTATTAAAGATGAAAGAATTTAGACAGTTTTTAACTCTCAGTGATGCCGCAGTGTTCGTTTGACTTTAGGACCTGAAGTTAACTGAGTTTTGGACCCAGATTACTCCGCGAGGTGAGGCTTCTGACTACAGTAGCTGTAATGCTCCGACAATCCATCAAGTGGTGCGGCGTCGTAGCTTACCAAAGTCGTACTAACAAATTTTTGACAGATTTTTGTGCGCTATGAACTGCATAAAATCAATTCGAGGTCAGTAAGCACAACTAGAATTTATATATAAGTCGCACTGGATTATAAGGCGCACTGTTGATTTTTGAGAAAATTAAAGGATTTTAAGTGCGCCTTATAGTGCGGAAAATACGGTACATAAGAATAAATTTAAAACAAAGAAAAATAAACATATTTATCTGGAGAGTGACTCAGTTTTAGAAATCCCTCCTTCTCCTGTAGAATCTACTCAACTGAGTTTGCCATGTGTCTCGTGGATCACTCACAGCCGAACTGGCTTGAACAAGACAATTTGCATCTTTTATGAGGCCTCAGCTGCTGAACGAACGATGCTAAAACATCTCACACGGTTGACTGCAAATGTAAAAAGATATGCATGCAGACGGTGATTCAGTGCCTGATTCACAATCTGACACCTGTAGTTTCTGCCGTTATGTCTACAGCAATATTAATAGCTGGACCGACAGAGATTGCCATCTATTTTAATTGAACGAGCCGTGACAAGGCCTCATCTAAATTTGTGCATCAACACTCATTTTATATTGCTGCCAATTAACTGCTGGGATGTAAATTCACAATGTACAATAGGCAGCTGCTTTTGCCCAAGACCCCTCCTGAATTTATCAGCGACATGAATCCTTTGTGTTCAGTTTTCTTTAATGTGGATTACGTTACACAGCGCGGTCAGTAAGACCAGAAAAGCAATATTGAAGCAGCAGTCTATTCTGTTCCAGTCACTGCAGACATTTGTCAGCATTTGTTTCTCATACTAACTGATGAGCCTGAAAGGCAAAGCAGATGATCTGTTGGAGGTGAATTTAACAGGCTGATTCACATTTCATGAACTGCTTACATAAGCTCATCCACCTCTGTCTTCCAACCCTCCGCTTGATTCATGGAGGAGATTTGGATCGAGACAAAGACATTAACAAATGCTGAGTGACTCATTTTTAAATGGCAGATCCCCTCTGAAGGACTTTATCACAGGTCTGCTATTCAGTATATACTAAGCTGTGCCATTTCACGATTTGTTCATTCTGTTTACTCTGTGAATGTGCTGTGAGTTTGAGTTGGTTTGAGGTTTATCAATATTTACTCTTTTACAGAATTTAACACTTTGTTTGGTTATTATTTCTTTTCTGTTAGACTAAATCCCTCTGTGCCTCCTTCCATTTTCACAGAGAGCTGACATAGCTGTGGCACCACTAACTATAACGTTGGTTCGAGAAGAAGTGATAGACTTCTCTAAACCCTTCATGAGCTTGGGCATCTCCATTATGATTAAGAAGCCCCAGAAGTCCAAGCCTGGGGTGTTCTCCTTCTTGGATCCACTGGCCTATGAGATTTGGATGTGTATAGTTTTTGCTTATATCGGTGTGAGTGTGGTGCTCTTCCTGGTGAGCCGTTTCAGCCCTTATGAGTGGCATCTGGACGAAAACGATGAGGCCAAAGACCCTCAGAGCCCCCCTGACCCTCCAAACGACTTTGGGATTTTTAATAGCCTGTGGTTCTCCCTGGGTGCCTTCATGCAGCAAGGATGCGATATCTCACCAAGGTTGGTTTGTTGTGTTCACTCCACCACATCTCCGATGTCCTTGTCATCTCTCGTTGCATTTTATAGTCCCATACATGCGTTCCCATCATGCATTGGTGCATATAGGTTATTTTGAGCTTCACTATTAGGGCTGTCCACCTAACCTCGTGCTCCACTTCACTGCACTTTCCTCCCATTTCTATATGAGCAAGAAACCATCATCAACTCGTCATCTTTGTGTTTTGAAGCTGCATGCTGGCAGCAATGCTTTGCATCCACAAAATAACTTATATCCACCATGCTGAGGGCTGTAAAATGCACAGGGGTCATTACATTTCATTTAAAGTAGGGGCTTGATTTCCTCATGACTCTTGGAGGGCTACCGTGTTTTTGCTGCATGTCCCATTTTACGGTCATCAACTTGGTGCATATAGGGTATATTGTGTGGAAATGATATCTGTTCCATAACTATATATTTTTCCAACACAATGGCCATCCAGTCATACCCTCTACTCATTCACTCATCCATCCATCCGTTTACTCATCGCTGTTCTGGCATCTCTGACTTCTTCAAGGATTCTTGTTCTGACACTTCCTCTTATTTGACTTTGGAAGATTGTAGAGAAGCTGGTTGAAGAGCTAAAGCAAACTAATTTGACCAAAGGTTCTCACAGATTTTCCCAACGTTTCATGGAATAATTAAACTGGTGATATGTCAAAGATGTTGTTGTTTTTATTTGATTGGACTTTTAACTCTGAGGGTTTTTTTTTAATGTAATGTTCAAAGAATAAAGCAGAGAGGGCACCACTCCTGAAAACCTGGAATTTGCAGATTTCTCAGTCTCTAATACCTCACTGAAAAAAAAAATCAATTAAGCAGCAAATGAGGGATTTTATGTTGGCTTCGAAGTACATGCAGTTTTTGAATTAAAACTGCTGATGCTGTAATTTTTGCTAAATTATTTCTTATAGCTCCGACACAGACCAGCAGTTCCCAGGCTACTCTAACAAGAGGAAATGTATTCTCTGATTTCCAATCCTTAATCACACCTTCTGTTGCCTCTAGGGCATTTTTGTGGCTAAAGCTTTAATTCTGGTTCAACCACATTTAGACCAACTAATCTCTTATGGAAATGGATCTTACTGTGATTTTCTTTTCAGGATTAACTCCATTTATGAGCAAATTTTCAGATAACACTGGTAGAGTCCTCACACAGCATCTCTGAAACACACTGTAGGTCTGGTGAAGTGACCGTGAATACACAAGAACAAAAATATAAAAACTAACTAAGAAAACAATAAATTAAGAGAAATCTAGAGCAGCGCATCTGCAATGCAGGGATTCACTGCGATTGAAGTGCGTCCTCATTCAAACAGAGGAATGAGAGTTCATCTGAGAGCAGCCGAGTCAGTACGTGTGTGATCGTTAAAGCAGAGGACCAGAGAGAATAGTCAAATTTGAAATTACGTACCCGGGGTTGAACTGCGAGGTTCCTTCCTCCCCAACGTGTTGATGTGAGCATGCTGATTTCTTGTCTCTACCTCTGCTCTTTTTTTCCTTTTCCTTTTTTTTACTCCTCTCAGGTCTCTGTCCGGCCGTATCGTGGGAGGAGTGTGGTGGTTTTTCACCCTCATCATAATCTCTTCCTACACGGCCAACCTGGCTGCCTTCCTCACCGTGGAGAGGATGGTTTCTCCCATTGAGAGTGCCGAGGATCTGGCCAAGCAGACAGAGATCGCCTATGGGACTTTAGACTCCGGCTCCACTAAGGAGTTCTTTAGGGTGAGTGTCTCAAATGCCTGTCGCTATCCTACTGCTGCACTGTATAAACTGACCTCTTTTTAGGTGAATAAGCCTCTATAGCTGTGCTGTGTGTTTTGAGCCATCACCTGCCAGGTAAATAAATAAATCCAAAGACTAATTACTAAAAAAACCCCTTAAACTACTTTTTCTTGATGCAGCACTTTCAAACTACTGAAACCAGACCAACTGTTTAACTACATCTAATTCATTCATTTTAAAACCTAAAAGAAATTAAACATTAGTAAAAACACAAACAGCTGCGCGACAGTTGCATGCGTTTCTTTTGTTTATCGATTTAAAAGTGCTGCCCTGAAATGAATAACTATGCTGAGCTCATATTTCTTTCAGAGAGGAGCACCAGTCCGCTCGTGACTGCCACTGAACTAAATGATGGCATTAGGCTTCAGAGGCAGCGCCTGTTATCAGCCTGTTCACAAATCCATTTTGTCCACAAAATTAACTTTGGTTATCAAAATAATTTTTCCCAGCTTTTTGGCAAAAGGAATAATTCAGCTATGAAACTGGGACAGTAATGCTTCCTCGTGCGGCCATCTGCAGTGCCATTAATCAGACTTTGATTAGCCTCACTGTGTCTTCGCTAATTTACTCAAAAGTGCTTCAGAAGCAAAAAGAAGAAGTACAAAAATAAATGCCTTATAAAAAGAAACAGATCAGGCAACTGGTTAGTGTTTGTCGTTTAGAAAAGCAGGTAAGGTAATTTAAAAGCCTGCATGTTAATTAATGCTGTTATCATTTTGAAACTGATGTATCTGATTGTGTAGATGTAGCTCTGTCTTAGCTTCTTAATCGCTGCCAGATCTTAGATGTCCTCAGGAGGATGTAGTTAAATGAAGTGATTGTTCAGTCTGAGTATCGAACACGTTTTTGTCTGTCTTTGAAACTTTGGAAAAACTTTAAAGAGAAACTAGAAAATGTCATTATAATTCCAATTTGCTGGCCTCTGTCACAAAACTGCAATCTCACAATAGACGCCCTATTCCTTGGAAATGGAAATGTCATTCACATCCGATGTCCAGCTCTGAGCTGTGTCTATTTTTAGTCCCAGTCGTTCTCTTGGTGTGATTGCTTGGAGTGAGTCTGAGACATTTCGGTATATACAAACCCAGCTCTCCCTTTAGACTCGAGAGTGATCGGGATGCTTTAGACGGCATCATTTCACAGTTATGAAACCACATCCTACAATCTCTTCTGAGATTTACAGACAGCATAAATACAGCATGTTTCTCTGTGTCGGTTTGGGTTATTTGCTGCTGGCTGGAGGGCTTTCTTGTTAGGACAGAGTCAGTCCAAGCATAATCAAATTAAAGCATGCATGCAGAAAACAATCGCAGACAAAAGAAGAAAAGATTCTGATTATATTTTAACTTCGGGATGAAAGAGCATTGCTTTTGTTTATCGTGTTTAACTCCAGTGAGGGAAGGGTTTTGCAGGGATCTAACCAAGTGTAATATCTGACCCAGGAGGTTTACAAAGGTGTTCAAGCAGAATAGCTCGATCTGCTGTGCAAAACTGACCCGAGGTCTGAAAGCACTGAAATGGAGCAGTCAGTATGATCGGTGCCAAGGAGGTTTGTAACTTGATGTCTCCTGCATTAAATGAAAGTATGAAAAATGGGCCTGTTTAGAAAAGTGTCATGGTGCAAAGGAAATCTTCGTCCCAAAAAGTTGAGGCCGACTGGGAAATGATAAAGTCTCGACTCGTCTGTTTGGGAAATTTAGAAGGATTTGGTTTTCAATAAAAATGCAAAACAAAACAGCAAGTCACTTATCTGTCAGAAATTCAGTTTAAGTTTACTGGGTTATATCCAAACTCTGCTTGTACAAGGCTGTTGTTATAGCTATAGACAGACAGAAGTGTGGTGGAGTTGAGTTTGCCAGTTTTAAGTTGTTCCTATTATCCATATCTGTGCTCAGTTCACTTCCATCAGCCGACTGGAGTCTTTCAGTGTGGCGTTTCAAGCTTCCTCCTCCAGTCCAAAGACATGCATGTTAGGTCAGCTGGGGATTCTAATTTGGATGAGAGTGTGTTAGCTCTGCGATACACTTGTGACACGCCTCTTGCCCTGTGACAGCTGGGATAGGCTTCAGCACCTCCACAACCCTGACTTGGATAAGCAGAAGTAAATAGATGGCTGGAAAACAGAAGCCGTTGTCTATTTGCCTTATTCGCTTATCATTCTGCAGTATATTACAGATGACTGACACATCTCGCAGCCTTAAAAAAAATATCTCATTCACATCTGTTGAATGAGACATTTTTTACAAATAGATATTAAATTGAATATTTTAGTGGCTTCCTGGTGAGTCATTGCATTGAAGGCAGCACCATAAGCAGCAGTTCCTCTCTGTAGATGCTCTAATCTGTGATGTATTAGACAGGATGTGATTTATCAAAGGTGCTCCTGAGGAGATAATTGACAGACATGTAGTGACTTTGTCTTGAGTGAAAAATATCGGCTCTTTCTGCATACAAACTGGAAATGCCTATGCAGAGGAGCGTTTCTGATTAAAGGTTTTTGAAATTTGGAGATTAGACACTAATGATTAATAGAAGCTATCAATGCATTTCAGCCTGATCATCAAAGAGGATGTATCACTTAATACAGATAATACATGCTCCTTAGGGCTCATATTATATGATGATAACCAGTGTGCTAATAATTAAACATACGCTTTAATTATTTGTTCTGGTCCTCAGAAAGGTTTTTTGTCAAGCCCCTCAGCTTTTTAAAGCATTGCAGAGGTAGTTTTATTTAAAATAGATGCAAATTTCTCATATCTATTTTGTGTCTTTCTTTCTGCCATTCTGCCATTTAAACCTTCCATTGTATATGGAGTTGTATAAATATGTATAATATTTAAAAAGATAAGTAAAAACATTTTTGGAGACATTTTTGGAACTACACCTATTTGCTACTTGTGGACTAATTAGGAAGTTAGCTTAGTATGAATAGACAGCTACTGTACAGCCTGGTTCTCTCCAAACCTAAAAAAATTTACTAGTATCATTAAAGTTCATTAAAGCATTAAAACCGTATGTAATGTCACAGACTGGTTTGTGAACAAATGTTCACAAAAGAGACCACAATTGAATGATAGTGTTGTTTTTTTATGCTGATTATAGCAAGCTTGTTTAACAAGGTACTGAACTGCCTGTGGGACACAACCTGTCTCCAATCCGTCAGTCTAACTAAGACTGACTTCAGTCTCTCTGAGACAGATTGGCGAATGTTTACAAATAATTGTCTAATCTACAAAGGTGGATAGATTGCTAACATGCTGCAATCAGTCATTCTGTGATGATTAGTGCATCTCTTTGCAATTCAGTGGTTGCATTCTAGTTATAATCCTTTATAAAAGTATTGTTGCCGGAGGTTTCTTCCTGTTAAAAGGGAGTTTTTCCTTCCCACTGTCGCCAAAGTGCTTGCTCATAGGGGCTCATGTGATTGTTGGGTTTTTTTCTCTGTATGTATTATTGTAGGGTCTACCTTACAATATAAAGTGCCTTGAGGCGACTGTTGTTGTAATTTGGTGCTATATAAATAAAATTAGAAAGTAGAAAGTAGCTGCCATGCCATTTTTCACTACATCACCATTTGTGGAGAAATTTATGATTTTCAGTTTCAATCTATAAATTTTTGGCTCGACTGTGAATGGAAGTACTTAATGGGAATTTTTTTCTATGCAGACAGCAGAGTTGCAATTTTTGCAGATTTGTCACAGTTAATTACCATATTACCAAAAGCAGATTTCATGTAATCGCCAACTTGACCTCATTCAGTTGCAAAATTATCTCTCAATTTAACAAGTTAAACCATAGAAGTATTACCTCCCTGTACAGCTGCTGGCTGTATAGCGAGAGATCAAAGCCACTCTATATATGAGGTGTAAATATGTTTATTATTGTTGTGAAGTTCTGAAATTTTAACGTAGAGGTTTAAGAGGATTGACTCTTGGCACAAGGCTCAGGTGGCCAGATTTGAGAAACCACTGTTAGCTTCACTTCTTTACAGAAATGATTAAAATCTGCTATATATTATAGGTATTGGGATATTTTGTGATTCATTTTTGCACATAATCTGTCCTGAGCTTCACTCTCCAGTGTGCAACAGTTTACAGAGTATGGTAAACTGAACCAACTAAATTTAGCTTGTTGCATTTCTCTGTGTTGTGTACAGTGATCAGATGTTAGAGTGGGGAAACGAGCGCATGAGCGAAGCAATATTAAAGATGGTTGGGGATCATATTAATAACAGCTTTGTGCTAAATGAGCCATGCTCCTGTTTGGTTGCATTCTTAATTTATTTCCACTGATCATGAACATACAGTAAATGAGTTGTAATTATATCCTTAACCATGCATGTAACTAAATATTGAACGCCGCTATATAAAAACACCAAAAAGAGTGCACATGCTTTGCTTTGGCCCGTTGTCTTCGTTTTGAGATGCCAGCAGCGTGTCAGACACGCTCAGGGCCATGAGTCACTCTTAGCTCTGTCAGCTGCTGAAAGATAAACTGGTTGCTGGAAGAAGGACTACTTCATTTTCAGAATGGATGATGGGCAGTAAACCCAAATTTCTCACTGGCCGGAGGACGTGACCAGCTTGTCATATTCTCGATGTTGTGGTTACACCAGCAATTAATTGAGAATAATTTGTCTCAGTTAAGCCACCGTGGTGAGAAGATTTTGCAGCGCTTATATCAGTTTGACAGCGTGAGGAGTTTCACAGATTTCCGCACAGATGACCGGCCTACTTCTGACAAGCATACATTTACGTGCAACCCAGAGAAGAATTGCAGTTTGCTCACTATGGTCAGACCTGTCATCAGCTATTATTGTCATGCTAACAGTGTTTACATGAACACTCCACTGAACTGAAATCGTGCATATGTCAAGAATGATTCACTTACTAGCCCGAGCCCACAATCCATTACATATCTGGTGAATTATTTATGTTGCCGTACACGTTGCCGAGCTGACACAGTTTGTCAGTTCACTCTGATGTTTTCATTTATTCTCACCTAATAGAAATAATGGAAGACTGACTCACATCACTACTGAACATACAATCTGGAACAAACCGGTCGCACAGACGCTGTTAATAAATATGAGTTCAAGCCAAAGTTCCCTCTGAGATTCATCTCTCACAGCCAAGTGCGGGTCGCATTAGCCCAGTTTAATGTAGCCTCGTTTTTTTTTCCCCTCTCTTCTCTATTGTAGACAGCTGTGTACTCCTACTCCCTGGTGCCCAGCGATCAGCCTCTCGCTGGCCATTTTTAGCAGCGTACTGAGTGTCAGAGTAGGGCCGTGCTGTGCATGTCTGTAGCTGCTCCAGCTGGCAGCTGACTGGGCCACAGAGGTGAAGCCGTCAGACTTGAAGTTAGCGGGTCAAATAAGTTAAAGAAGATGTCATTACAAAAGGAGTTCTTGACACTGTCAAAGAAGAGTGTATTTCAGATCACCCATGCACTGCATGTGAAGAAGAAGTACTAGAAAGGTTTTTTTTCCCCCTTTTTTGTTTTCCTGGTGAGTCACAACTCGTGTTATTTCTGTGTTTGTGGTACAATTGGTGTGGATGCATACTGATCCATACTGAACACTAAAGCCAAAACAACCAAAAAGACAACCTCCTCATTTTTCAGGTATTTAAAAATAAATAAAAGGGGGGGGGAAAGCTGTGCAGACGCCTGACTCAAAAGTCATTTTAGAGATTTAAAAGAAGTTAAAAAAAAGATTTTTGTAGCTTCTGTAGCTTCTTTAAGTGCAGGTGGAACTGATGCAGTTCCTTCTTGACCTTAAACACGTCAACGTAAAGCAGGCTCCAAAATCAAAACACATGCACAATGTGTTGCATGCATACATAGTGTTTGCAACTGCGTTTGTGCAGTGTGTGGAGCCTCATCTCAGCTTCCATAGGGCGGGAGGCGAGGTACCCTCTGAACAATAACACAATAATTCAGACTCACATTCTCACCTATGGGACATTAACTATCAACAGTTACCCTAACTCCACTGACTGCATGTCTTTGAACTGTGGGAGGAAGCCGGAGTACCTGGAGAGAATCCACACATGCAAACTCCACACACTAAAATTCAAAAGCGGTACATAAAAAGCAGCTTGTGTGGATTTTTTTTTTTAATGCATCATTTTCTAACCTTTTATCTTTGCAGCTATTATATGACACGCCGTGCTATTAACATATATATAACAATAATATTCCATAAATAATAAAGTAATAAATAAATAAATAATAAAGTGCTGTAAGCCAAAGAGAATAAAGATTGGCTGTTTTACAGGTGAACATGCAAAATAACTCTCTGTTCTTAAGTTTTCAGTATATTTTTAGCTGCTGCTTGATGCAGTAGCTCATGAGCTAAACAGCTACATATGCACAGTACCGGCAAATTCAATCCATGCATCGATGTACAAACAGATTGATTTGAATAAAATCTCGACCGTGATGGCGCCGACTGTGATGAGCTGTGACCTGCTGCGGCGGAGGTCACTCCTGCTTATCGATACTGATACCAAACATGTGCTGCATGTTACTTCTGCTGAGCTGCCAGGTTGTCAGACTTCAGGCTGCTGGCACGGAGCCCACTACCTCTGCAGCACCGTTTGCACTTAAAGGGTAAATCCACTCTGAATTACAAGCAGCACATGTCTGTTAGCGCAGCGCTCGGTACGTGATGAAATCTGTGAGGTCACAGCAGGTGTGGTAACAGCTCGAAACACCTGCTGCTGAAAATAACCACAGCAGCAGCTATCCTCCCTGCGATTCAGAGCCGAGCTAGTTAGGAGTTTTGGAAAATACACTTACTTTCTTGCTGAGCGTTAGATGAAAATATTGATACTACTCATGTCTGTGCACTAAATATAGAGCTGGAGCAGGGAGCTGTGTGAGCGTGACTTCCCTCCCGCTGTCTTGGAGGCGGTCCTAGCCTATATTAGAGGGCAGTTGGCCGGCATAGGAGGGTCGTCAGCTAACACAGCTCACCTGGACCCCTCCAGCCTTTGAAAACTGGCCGCAACTCCTGGCATCAACCGTCTTTAGTGTTTGCACACACACATCCACATGCTGCTGTCCTTTGGCTGAAATGGCTCGTTTCTTCATTCCAGTGGGGTTTTTTTTGTTTGTTTGGATGGGGGGAGTTTAGTTTTAATCAATTCAATTTTACCTGTCAATCTCTTGCACGTACTCACTACTTGTAACTTTCCCTCAGCCACTTTGTGACTGTTGACAGTCTTGTCACGAGTACATATTGAAAAACTGAGGTGTAACCTGTTAATTAGAGACCATCAGAGGTGCCTTGATATCTTTTATCCTTATCTTGATATATTTTTATAGTTGGATGACAGAGTTCTAATAAAGTAAGAGAAACATGTGGGAAACAGATGTTTCAGCCTCTTGCCACACCTCGGTTATTTTGCACAAATCCCGATAACATCCTTGCGGCTCGGGCTCCACACTTAAAGTCCAGACCTGTATCAATATTATCATGTAACTCGGACTCCCAGCAGCTTCGTGCGATTGTTTTCATGGCTGTCAGTGTGCACCTTGACCTTAACTGTCTCTCTCTTCTCTCTCTGTTCCCCTGAATGCAGCGCTCCAAAATAGCAGTTTATGAGAAAATGTGGTCGTACATGAAATCCGCCGAACCCTCAGTGTTTGCCAAGACAACACCAGACGGGGTTTCCCGGGTACGAAAGTCGAAGGGCAAGTTTGCCTTTCTTCTCGAATCCACTATGAATGAGTACATAGAGCAGCGGAAGCCATGCGACACCATGAAAGTGGGCGGCAACCTCGACTCTAAGGGCTACGGTGTGGCCACGCCAAAAGGCTCTGCATTAAGGTGGGTGGGATATTATAACAATATCCTCCATGTTGTTATAGTATTCCACCTACCCTGATGTTTCCTTTTCTCATCCTCTTCTTCTTAAGCCCTTTGTTTTTTTTTTTCCAAGTGCATCTCCGAGTGAAACATGTTATGAGTTATCTGAATTGAATCACACACATTGAGCCATTTTTGATTTCCTGTCCCACGTATCTGGTTTGTGTCTGTTGTTTTCTCCTGTTTCTTCAGGTTATTAGTATATTAGTCACATCGACGTGCGCACGTGCCACTTTCCCTCCATCCTCTCGTTTGTGTTGTCTCTTCTCCTTCTCACCTTTCCTCTCTTCTCCTTTCTGTGGTGCCCCCCCCTCCTCTCTTTTCCCCCCTTTCTTTTCCTTTTAAAAATATTTCTCGAATTAATTTGCTAGTTACAATGCTGGTCTGTCAGTTGTGATGAATGTTAAGCTGCATGCTAGATGTTCTTGTTTCTAAATGATCAATGACAGAATGTCCCCATCCCGCACACTTCAGTTACAAATGTAACCCTCCATGCCACCTCTCTAATATTTAACGTTTTCTTTGCTGTAAAAATGCTTCTTACCCTTCCACACCAGTGAAATTCTTTACCAATTTGTCCCTCCCGTGCTCCCCCTATGAACCATTGATATTTATCACTATTTCTTACTAATATTCTATATTAGATTTCTCACGGACCTGTTCATTTTCTTACAAGTTATGTTTTATCGTTTCAAGAAATGCTGTTAACCTGGCAGT